CCCCATGTTTTCTTCCCAGCTCCCCTCCCTCAGGCCTGGCCCCCTCAGGGCAGCGACAAGACCTGATTTGTCCACTATGGTGAACCCAGCAGCCAATGCGATGCTGGCCCTTGGCAGGTGCTCACGGACACTCTGCATGGAATGAAAGAGTGAATGAGCGAGCGAATGAACAAGAATCTGCACCTCTCTGCCCAACACTTGAAATATACCCCGACTCCCAGCAGGTCACCTGGTCCTGGAAACCTTTGGGGACCCTCCCTCCAGTCTTCCTTCCTCTGTCCCCCTTACAGCGCAGGTGTCCCTCTCTCACACCACAGCGGGGAGTGGAAATCCAGGGGACAGTGGAGCCTCCGCTGGTCTTATCTGTCTCCCAGATCAGACCCCCAGTTCCCGGAGGGAAGGAACAGGGCCCATGTATGCTTGTCCCCAGCATCGCCCCGGCTCAGATGAGTCTCTGCGGAGCTTAGATGGAAAAGAGCCTCAGGGCAGCCCTCCACATACAGGCGGCCACTGGGAAACTGGTCTGAAAGCTCATGTGCAGGGCAGACAGAGTGTGTGTTTTAAGGGGTGACTTCAGGGCCCATAGAGACAGGGCAAAGGAACAAAGAACATGTCCCTTCCATGAATGAGCTGTGGTGTCAGATAGCTCCGCTCTGTCCTGAGCCCCTGGTACCTAAACTGGGATGGTCCGTGCCCTGGGAGCCCTTCCGGAAGCCAGTCCATCAGTCCCAGCGCCGGCCACGCGCTTCCACTGGAAGAGCAGAGCGGCTTCACGTACCTGCGGTGTGGCCTGCGGGCCGGGGCGGCTTGTTTGAACGAAACATGCCGGGCTCTACTTGGCGACGACTTGTTGATAATCTTGCCTCAAACAGAGGAGTTTGAGATGGTTGAGAAAAAGCAGAGATCTTCCTCCCCCGGGGCCCTAGGCAACTCCTTCCAAGACGCAGCGCTATGGTGGGAGAGGTCCCTGAACCGGGACCACGGAAGGGAGACAGGCCCTGGTTTCTTGGGAATCAAAGCTCGAGTTTAATACTTAGATTTCAGACTCTGCAACTGATGGGGCGGGGAGGGGAGGGAGTCCTCAAGGACGGAGAGCAAAAAGGGGTCTCCACGAATCAGTCCTCACCCGCTTTCCAGCGCCTCGGAGAAACTTGGGGGAGGGCAAGCAAGGAGCAAGTCCCCCTGGAGCTGGGAGTCCTCGGCCTGGCGGGTGGATGAATAAGTGATTAAGCGCCCAGTACACAATAGCCTCGCTAGATGGAGACTAGGAATCACCGCTGGCGGC